CGCGGGGCCGGGCGGGCCTTCAGCCGGGCCCTCCTGACGGCTCACCCATCACCCGGCCAAAGCCACTGCAATCACAAGCTGGCTGAGAGCCAAGTACTGTCGGCGCGCTCGGCCCGGCCCTGCCCCTCCCAGCGGCCCCAGCGCGGCCGAGGAGGGAAGGACCGTTCCATAATACGAATACCCAAACCTCCGGGTACATAAGATGGCATTTTTGTTGTGTTGAATAAGAGATAAACTCTAAGAGAAGCCGGTGGTGTACGTCGTTTACAAATCCACCCCACCTCGTCAACAGCAACGCATCCCTCGACCCATAGGGCAGCCATGGACAGCCGAGCCGTGACGCCACTCGTGTTAAGGGGCCTTTTTTTTTTGGCAGGGCTGGGATCGAGAGCAAGCTTTGCTCGTGGGGCGTGGCCTTTCTCTATCCACAGGAGACGCGTAAACAACTGCTGGGACTATCCACACGCGGTCCGGCCGAGGCCCGGCCCGGGGGCCGCCCCCGCGCAGCTTGCATGACCCCGCCCGCCGCCGCCCGCATGCCGCTCGCTCACAGCTGATCGCGCCTGTGTCACTCGCGCCGCCCCTGTTTGTCAACAACACACCGGGCCGGGCTAGCGAGCGTGAGTGAGGGGAAATGGAGGTGCAGTTGGCTACTTTCTCGTGCGTTTTGCGCGAAAGTTGGCCATTTTGTTGCAGCTAACAGCAAAGCCGCGGCAGAAGTGCGCCCGCTGATTACCCGCCAGCACGACACCACCGGCACCGGCGCGGCGGTATGAACATGGAGCGATGACGGCGTGACGAAAAGGTGGTCGTGGTGGTGGTGGAGGAGGAAGAGGAGGGTCGAATTGTTTTATTTCGCGGCCACCACATACTAGACGAGCGTCGTCGCCATGCTCATCCGCGTGAGAACGTCGACCCCGTGGCCAAGCGGAGCCGGCTTCAGGTAGCGATAACGATAGCGATAATGTGACAGACAGCCTCTTTTATCTGGGGTCTTCTTGACCCCCGCCCCCCCCCTCCTTCCCTCACGAGTGAGTGGGGGGGCTGCGGGACTTAGCGTCTGCGCGCTCCGTCCTCCGCGGCCGAGCCCGGGCCCCAGGCCCCACCAAGTAGGCCACCCTTCCTTCAGACCACCGCGTCGAAGGACGGCCGGCCCGAGACCACCGCGACGTCGGGGCGGCGACGAACGGAAGGAAGCGCTGTGCGCCGTCTAGTTGTCGGTCGCTTCCGCGGAACAAGAGCAGAACGCCTTATGTAAGCCGCGCGGCGCGGCGCTGGGCGTCCGTCCTGCTGGACACGCGCGGGGGCGGCGCGCTGGCTGGACACACTCCAATCTGCGTGACCGCTCCGCGGCCCCGCGCCGCACGGATATGGCACCGCCGCCGCGGCCACGCGAGCCATCCTCCCGGGGGGCGGCGACTCTCGCTTTCGACAGCAGCGTGCTGTGTGGCTCGGCCGCGACCGCGCACTCGGTGACGGTGCTCCGGAGCGACAGCAGCGACTAAAACTTTAAGCACGTGCGCTGTGTTGGCATTCCCTCTGCGGAAGCAAGGTGCCTCTGCTGAAGCTAGAGCTGCGCTACTAAGACGTCCACGTCTTGTGCTGCGGCTCGACCACGCGACCACCTCTTTTTGTCTTTATTCTCAACCCCTGAAAAGTACCTGAAATTTGTTGGACCTTTCTGAGCACAATTTAAGGTAGAGGTGATAATGTGAAGGAGTCGACATGTCCAGTCCAGGCGGCTCACCTCACGCGTTGTACCTTTATGGGACCGGTGAAAGAAAACGGGAATCGCCTTTGTCCTGTTGGGTTTGCAACTGGGTGCCTGACCGGCCTGTCCCTGTTGTTGCAGATGGTGCGCGTGGGCGCGGCGCTGCCGCTCTACGTGATGCTGGGGCTCACCGCGGCCCTCTTCGGCGTGCAGCTCGCCCTCAGCCACGTGACGCACGCGCTCACGCTGCTCGTCGACTCGTACCACATGCTGTGCAACCTCATCGCGCTCACGGGCTGCATCATCACCATCAAGGTACGTAAGCTCGGCCAGCAGCGGCGCCCAACGCGCCGGCCGGCCAGAGGGGTGTGACACACACACACACACACATGCACACACACGCACACACACACACACACACGCACACACGTACACTGCGACTGCGGCGCGGACGCCCCGGTCCGGGACATGTTCCGGACCCTGGCCAGGGCATACCTAACGGTTCGGCGGTCTGGTCCGCGCTGCCCCCTGATCTGTCCGTCGCGGTCCCGGCATCGGGCCCCCTGCTGTCCCCCGCCGCGCCCCGCTGCTGCACCCCGCTGCGACAGCTCGCTCACCAGTGTCCGCCTGCCCTTTGGTGTTTCAGAAAGGAATGGGCGGCGGGTCCCCGCCTATCCGGAGCAGCCGAGGGCAGCAGGCCTCTAACGCCGAGGACAACTCCAACGAGGTAAGTTAATGGTGGCAGAGGCTGGCCCGGTTTAGGGCTGTGCGGTACATAGACGTCGATGCCATATCATCTTGGTATCGGGAGCCTAGTCCACTCGCTCGCGAGGCCGGCGGCCAGCGCCCGGGAGGTAGGCCGCCCAACGGGTGGCCTGCCCGGACGCTGTCCGCCGTGCGCCTCGGCAGCAGGCAGCCCAACTCACCCGCCCCCGCTCTTCCTGCAGCACTCCACCCTGCGCGAGGGCGCCACAACCGGCGCCTCGGCCGCGGACCGGCGCCTGCGCAACACTTTCGGCTGGGCGCGCATCGACGTGCTCGTCTCGCTCATCGACACCGTCTTCCTGGCCTCGCTGTGCTTCTCGCTGCTCGTGGAGGCGGTGCAGACCCTGCTGCACATCGACCACCACGACGAGATGCACGAGCCGCTGTACGTGGCGGGCGCCGGCGTCGCCTCCCTCGCCATCAACGCGCTCTGCTACGTCATGCTGGGCGGTAAGTACTCGGTACCAAAGAGCGAGAAGAAGTCGCCCTTGTAGAACCAACGGTAACGCTCACTCTGTCGCTGCCCGCAGGCTACACTTTCCACCAGGGCAGCTTCTTCCACGTCACGGAGAACGGCGACGTGATGCTGGACCCCGCCGTGACGCAGGACTCGGTGAAGATGGGCGACCGGCGGCTCTCTTCGCAGCGGAAGCTGCCGGCGGCCGGGTACCAGGGCCACCCCGCGCGCCAGCGGCAGGGCTTCCGGGAGATGATGCGGGACACCGTGGGTGAGTATCCGCTTTGGTCTTGCTGGGGCACTTTTAGTCATCCCTCTCGGGATGCTTTGTGCTGCGCTGTGTGAAGCTCGGAGCTGACTTCCTCTGTTATCGTGACCAGGGTGCGTGTTCGTGATCGTGGCCTCCCTGACGGTCTTCTTCACGGACCAGAGCGTTGGGAAGTACGCAGACCCCCTCCTGTCCATCGTGTCCGCCGTGCTGCTGCTGATCCTCAGCTACCCGTACAGTAAGTACAACGATCTGTCATATAGCCACCAGGTTGAGGTGTAGTACTACTTTCCTATTACACCTTTCATCAGGTGGCTGTGATTAGCCTCGCCCACACTCGTTGTTACACTGTGCGGGGAAGGCGGGCTCGCCCATCGTCTCCAGCCGTGTCGCCTTACTCCCTAGGCGAGCAGGCGACCCGCCCGCCCGCGTGCACGCGGTGCAGTCTAACGATGAGTGTGGACGGCCCTTATCAGCCACCTGGTAGACACTGCCATTGACGCTCACACCACCTTCTCCTCCTCTCCTTACAGTGAAAGAGGCGGGGCTGATCCTCCTCCAGACCATCCCGGAGCACATCAACATCGAGGAGCTCCGCTGTGACCTCCGCAACGCGTTCCCGTCGATCGTGGACATCCACGACCTGCACATGTGGCGCCTGAACCAGAGCAAGGTGTTCTGCACGGCGCACATATGCTTCCAGGACGCGCGCGACTACCTGCGCGTCAACCACGACGTGACCCAGTTCTTCCTCACGCGTGGCGTGACTCAGGTGACGGTGCAGCCCGAGTTCAGCAGCGGTGACAAGGTGCAGGGCTGTCAGATGAGTTGCCCCGGGGAGTCGTGCCTGCGCGCCCACTGCTGCGCGCCCACCGTGGTCTCGCCAGCCGCCGGCCGCGCGGCCGCGCGCCCCGAGCCCCAGCACTACCTCCGCATCGGCTCCGACCTGTCCCTTCCCGCGATGCCCGCCGCGGTCCCCGCCGAGGCCGCCGACGAGCCCGCCATCGGCCCCCCTCAGGTTCAAGTCGTCGTGGAGATGAACTGCGCAGACTCTGCTGCAGATCAGCCCGCACCTGTCACGACGGAGACGTGCCTGGCGGAGAAGCCGGACGAGGCCCTGCCCGCAGAGCAGCAGGCAGCCGAGCCCGCCGAGGCCGAAGAGGCCACCAGCAAGTCGGAGGAAGTGTCGGCTATTCTGTCGAACCAGGAGAACGCACCCAGGTTGAGGGCCACATCCAACGGCCAGCCAAAGTGAGGTGGCCTAGACTGCGCGTAGAAGAATAGGTGTGCGTGTGTGTGTGTTTGTGTGATTGCGTGTGTGTTTATTTATAATGTAAGATAAAAAAATCAACTGTGCCAGATTGAGCGTTACTTTATTATAGTTGACTGGTCAAAGACCATTAAGGTAACTTTTTGTTATGGATAACGGATCCGTTTTTTGTTTTAATTGTATAGAAACATGTTTCAATTTTGAGACGAAACTTTGACCATTTTATCATAATATTTTTCCGAAAAAATATATTGTTTATTCATTTTTAGAACAAAAAATACTGCATTGTACTAGAAATGGACCAACTGACTAGACAGGGTGTACTTTGACATATATTAATTTAATGTATTTTGTATTAATATAAGACTGATAGTGAGAGATTTTTTTTATTGCAATTAACGAAATTTGTGTGCGGTAGCAGTAAGACTTTGTTACCTGAATAGGACCTAGAGCAAGAAGTCCCTCCAAAACTACTTTAGATCAGAAAGCATTCAATCATTCCTGCAGACATTTGGGAAAGTTATACTCTATTTTTTAGAACCAAGGTAGTGTGGAACACTAAGAAGTACCTTATTTCTCGAGGCGGGCACCATAAGGGTTACCAACTGAACAAACATGGTGTGTTCTTATCTACTGTCGATGCACTCGTTACAATTCTGCTATGTTTGTGGTGACACTGTTGTCGTTTGGTGACAAAGTTAAGTGTCGCCGTCCCCGGCAGGCCGGCAGGCAGACAGTTAGTCGGAGTCCTTGGACTACTACTTAGACAGGCCCGTGCCCTGTCCAGGCCCCCGTACTGATAGCGATGCACAGCACCGGTCGCGACGGATTAGGGCCCGTTATCTACTGGGCTGACTGTCAAGCAGCGCGACCTGCACCTTACCCATCCTGACTAACTGAACCACCCAGTCGAAGAGTCCTTTCTTTACGCCAAGCGACCAACAGCTCAACTCCCTTCGACAGGGAATTACCGCCTGTTGGCATGGCTCTTAGGCAGACGCCAGACGCCTCCCTCCCTGCCGCCGCTCTTGAGAGTAAAAACGTTTTTCTTTCAGCTGGCTTGTGCAATCCCCTTTCCCCCTATACCTTACCTTAGGACTAACCTCCGCGCAACACCGTCAACCGACCCCCTCCCCCTAATTGTACCGCCAATTCGCGCTTTATTGCTCTAGAAAGCACTGAAAGACGAGGCCGTTTCAGGTTGACAACTCAAACATTGATCGTCCTCCCAACCCCCTCCCCCTCCGGGCTCTCTCGCCGCTGTGCGCTTGACAAAGTCGCCCCCCTGTGCATGTGTGTACGTATGTATCGAGAACAGCGGGCGAGAGTGCGCGTGAGAGCGCGCTAGCGCGCTGTCCGGCCCGGAGCGAGGTGTGTTCCGCCCCGTGATTGTGTATACACTACGGGTACCGTTCACGTGGTTGTAAAAGAAAAGGGACCATCACTTTTTGCCCAGCGTTTGTCTTTCAGCACGCATTCTACTCTTGCTCGAAAGTCTGGCGTTGCTAGGCCCTAGAAACACACAGCCGGCCCTCGCCTCCTCCCCCGGAGCGGAGTGGGGGCAGGGGGGGGGGGTGCATCGCACTGCAGGCTCTACGGATCGTAGCGGATCGCGGTCATCTGATGCCAAGCTGATAACAGTGAGCGAGCCCCCCTCCTCCTTTCCCCTCCTCGTTCACCACACTCGCATGCCGGCTTTCAAAGCCCATACGTGTTCGTTGCCGAAATTTTCATGGCAGCGGTGGGTCGGCCCAGATGACATGTTTTTGTTTCTGCTGGGACTACCGTGGGGCCCGGCCGGCGGATCTGTTCTCATCGCCTGGCCCCGCCCCCTCGCCGCGACAGAATTGGACAGAATAGCCGAATGGGCTTCCGGTCGCGGCCAGCAGTGGCCAGGCCAGGCCCGCCTTTAGGCCCGCCAGTCCAGCGACCGCTACTCGCGAGCCGCGCGGGCCCATAGGCGGCGAGCGAAGCGCGGAGCGGAGCGGCAGACTCAAATCGACAGAGAATGTGACTCAGTGACCCAGCGGCAGACTATGAATACCGAAACACCGGCGCCACGCCGCCACGCGGGAGAGGGCGGGGACGGCGGAGGAGGAGGGGG